AGATGACAACCTGGCTCCCAACACTGCCAACGTCCAGATGACCTTCCTACGCCTGCTGTCCACAGAGGGCTCCCAGAACATCACCTACCACTGCAAGAACAGCATTGCCTACCTGGATGAAGTAGCTGGCAACCTCAAGAAGGCCCTGCTCATCCAGGGCTCCAACGACGTAGAGATCCGGGCAGAGGGCAACAGCAGGTTCACATACACGACCCTGAAGGATGGCTGCACGGTGAGTGGGGCTGAGGACTGGCCTGCAGCAGGTGTCAGGTCCTACGTGACAGGATCATCAGAGGCCTGAGTTTGGGGAGTTACCTAAAGAAGACAAGCTGAGTGACAGGCGAGGGAGAGGGACATATTGTTCTATCTTCTCACTCCTCTGGCTCAGGGGAAACAGGAGTGTGCCCAGTGACTCTTACAGAAGTGTTCATGGGATGTGTATGAGCAGAGTGAAGAGGGGGCACAGGTGGGAAGCCCAGTGCAGGGAGTGGGGAGGAGGGAAGTGCAGGATGGTAGGAGGGCTGTGCTGCCCAGCGTAGGAGTTGACGCACAGAGGGTTCTGGCAAGCCAAGAAGAGAGAGGGGTCTAGAGAGCCCCTGTGTTTGGCTCATACTTTGTGGGCTATGATGCTCATCAGCTTGCTCAGTTTTGGGGTCCTGGGCAGCTGGCACTGGATTGCAAGGCATCAACTGACCAGGGTCTGCTCCCTTCCTCCCGTAGAAACACACCGGTAAGTGGGACAAGACTGTTATCGAGTACCGGACACAGAAGACCTCACGCCTCCCCATCATTGACATTGCACCCATGGACATAGGAGGACCTGAGCAGGAATTTGGTGTGGACATAGGGCCAGCCTGCTTCTTGTAAAAACCCGAACCCAGAGACAACACAATCGGTCGCAAACCCAAAGGACCCAAGTGCTTTCCAATTCCAGTCACTCTAGGACTCTGCACTGAATGGCTGACCTGACCTGATGTCCATTCATCCCACCCTCTCACAGTTTGGACTTTTCTCCCCTCTCTTTCTAAGAGACCTGAACTGGGCAGACTGCAAAATAAAATCTCGGTGTTCTATTTATTTATTGTCTTCCTGTAAGACCCTTGGGTCAAGGCAGAGACAGGAAACTAACTGGTGTGAGTCAAACGCCCCGAGTGACTGCCCCCAGCCCAGGCAAGAAGACCCCCTTCAGGTGCCGGGCGCAGGAACTGTGTGTCCTACACAATGGTGCTATTCTGTGTCAAACACCTCTGTATTTTTTAAAACATCAATTGATATTAAAAACAAAAAAATTATTGGAAAGTATATATTGATGTGTGCTTTGTTCTTTAGTCTATTGTCCATCAGCGCTTGGTCCTGTAGGCATAACCAAACGGCAGTCCTAAGGCCTTCTTCTGTTGGCTTGCCAACCCAGAGGGAGGTCGCCGAAGCCACACTGCCCGGGTTAGCACTTTCACACAAACGCAAACTTTTCTCTATGGTAAACCTTGGCACTGTGTAGAACCCAGTGGTGAACAGGGGCCAGAGACCAGGATTAGGGATGGGAGGCCCGCCACAGCAATGGCCTTGCTCTTGAGAGCAGACGCTGAACACGGCTTTGCAGCAGATTCGTGCGGGAAGCAAGATGCCCTGCCAGCCCTAGGGGGTAGGGCTGCATGTGAGTCACATCCTGCTGGATGGGCGAGGTAGGAGATGTTCCCAGGAATGGGGGGTGGAAAAGGGGAGAGGAGCAGGGCAGCAAGTCCTGCTGAGCCCGTGATAAGTGCACACGATCAAGCTAGGCCATCTATTTATTTTGCCTTTCTACAAGACTTTTAGGTCAAGGAGAGGTAGCTGTGTTCCCCACCTGCCATCTTCCTCTTTCCTGCTCCCGCCCTGCTGGCCGCCATTCTTCACTTCCTGGGCCTGCACCTACAGTTTCCGTACACTTCCTCTGAGCACCAGGCTCCAGAATGGACAGCCTCCATTTCTTCCCACTGTCAGGTGTCCTTTGTTTTCCACTGACCTGAGTATGTGGCAAAAATGAATAAGTTGTCCTCTTCTCCACTAGAGGGCCATGGTGTTGGCAAGTGGCAAGTGAACAGGAGACATAAAACCAATCAGGATTGACCACAGTAGTGTTTATAAAATATCTGGCATGGCTGACAACTAGAGAGACATCCCTTTCTCTGTTCTTCTCTCCCATCCCTGCCCCCACTTCCTCTAGATTAAGGTTGACAGCGTTTCTATTAAAGAAATAATAAGAATAAAGACACTTTTGTTGGATTTGTTTGCATGTATTAGTACTCAACTGATGGTGTAAATTTATTGAATAAAGTATCTTACCAGGGCCAGCTCCTAAAAACAATAAAGGAGTAAAATGAAAACATAACTAAAAACACGTAACTAGAATAGCTATCTCATTTTAATAATTTAAAGTAAACACCACTTCCATCTGCAAGAGAGCTAATGAGGGCAAAGGGAAAGCAGGTGAGGCGTAGGCCCATGGAAACGTTTCCTCAGTCAACAGCTGGAGCTGAGTAGCTGCTCTCCCTTCCAGCCTGTCACACTCCAGAGCCCAGGCTGCTGCTGCACACACTTTTCTTCCCACAAGGTGACAGAGCTACTTACTCTGAACAACGTGGTTCAGTAGATTGTGAACATCAGCTCCAACAGCTTAGACCTTTGCAAGAGACGTCCCAGGACATCAAGGTGATTCCTTGCAGCCCACCCACTTCCTGAGTGCCCAGTGAACCCTAGAAATAACAGCAACTGCTCAGCAGGTGATTGAGGCGTGAACCAGAAGGAAGAACCCAGGGAAGAGTGGAACAGACAGCCCTGCATCTAGGGTCCACTCTGGCTCGCAGTGCTGTGCTCTTTCTGCTGCTCCCGTGTCCCAGAGGACCTCTGCTAATTCCTGTGACGCCCCATGCCGCAGGAAAAGCAGACAGTCTCTCCAGTCAGAGTAACCCATCGGACGAGGCCCTGCCTGACCCCAGCAGGATTGGATGGACAGACCCGGCTTCCTGATGGTGGGCCCGTCAGGTTACTGTCCCTCTCTTGAGCTTCCCTCACTTTTGCCATGAAATTTGCCCAGCATGGAAAGGCTCTGGACTATTTGTCAGCAGGCTGAGCTCCAGCTTAGACCTACTCTCAAGTCGTTGGATCCTGGGTAAATCACAGGACAATTTCTGAATTGTTTCCCCTTCTAAACAATGAAAGGAACAGAATCTTAAAGGAATGCTGACAAGGTAATAAGGAATTTTACTTAAGAAGACAAAGAATAAGGATTATTTTGTCAAGAGAGAATATCTGGGACCCTATTGAGTCATGTAACGCTTTTAACAAATAGGCTGATTCTTTTAATAATTTATTTCACACTTTGGGCTAGAATCCCCAGGAGAGTTGATGCAGAGATCTTGGGGGTTCTGTTTTGGGGTAACGAGGCTGTAGAATAGTTGGTGGAGGTAAACCGTGGCCTATATGGGGCCTGGTGAACACAAGAGGCTGTGATGGTGTTTCAAACTCTAGTTATGACTCTGGATAGAATGCCTCGAAATCGCAATGCTTAGCATACAACAGGTGCTCAATAAATACTTTTTTGGAATGAGTACATAGACAAAGGAGTTAAGACTTCTGTTGCAGCAACTCTTCAACCAGGTGACCTGGGTTAAGTGGTTTGAGATGAAGGAAGAGGTCACGACGTTGGCCAAGCCAGAAGCTATAGAGGAGAGATGCTTGCAAGGCCTCACCAAGACACACTCTACAAATTCCAATCCTAGAAACACAACGGTGATCATAATGATCTAATCCAACCACTTCCCCTTTCTATTTTGGGGTTGCTGAGAGAATATTCTAGGCATTTGTTGGAGAATTGACAGACACCATGATAAAACTATGTAGAGCACCCCAAAATGCAGTTTGGGAAGCTAAAAATGTAAGCAGATATGAGAATTCATAGCATCATGAGATCAGATTTTTTGCTGTATGTTTTAAAAATTTAAATGTTCTCGTTTTAATATCATAGCTGGATTTTAAGGTAATATCAAAAGAAATGTTACTGAGGTACGTGGTTACAAAAAATGATTCAAAATTAAAGTACAAATATGAGTAACTTTCAAAATTATATGAACAATATGCTATAGAAGCTATTTGGAAAACGCGAAAACTAAAGAGGAAATGTAGCAATGTGAACTTCTTCATATGTTTAGGGCATGCTGTATTTAGGGCTACATGCTCAGAAGTGGTGCACACTTGCTTCCGTGCAAGTGGTGACGTTCCGTCACCAACACACACCACAGTCATCACCGCTGTGCACACACATTGCTGCGTAATCCCGTGTAACACTAAAACTGTTTAAACCCTCAGCTTTTGGGTTGTTCAATCATGGATAATGTCAGCTAAATAGTAATAAAATTTAGCGCTAGTCTGATTCATAGTATAAAAATCATTAAGCAAATATTGAAAATTAATCTATGGGAATGGGGACAAAAACTAATAGAAAACCCTGGCCACCACCTGTTGCTGTCAGGGTTTCCTGAGGCCCCAGTGGCATGGGAGGAGCTGGTGCCCACCTCAGCTGAGTTCTGAAACCTGACTACTCAAGCTTAGATCCTAGCTAGATGCTCTGCCAGTTCCAGGTTGTACCCCACCCTCTGGTGGCTGAGAGGGTGGAGACAGTTCAGGAGACTTTCAGCCTCAAACCAGGTCCTCTTCTTCAGGACTAACGCCAGCTAGTAGGGGTGTGTGGGGAGGTGGTTATTCCTCCTCAGGCATCTCTATTCTGCCTCTTCCAACTCCTATGGGGCATTGAGTGCTCCGCTGGAAGAGCAATAAGGCAGCCTTTTGCCCCAAGAGGCAGATGGAGAAAAGTGAGGCTGCTGACACAGGAACTCACGGGGACAGGAGCACAATCAGGTTCCTTCTTTCCTTCCCATGCCATCCTGACCCACTCAGTAGGCAACTATTCTATGGTTCCCCAGAGGTGCCTACTAAGACATCCAGGTAATCAGAGGAGATGCAGATGAATCAAAAACAGAGTTTATTTTTCTATCAAATCCCCAATCCATGTTCCAGCCAGTGAATGAAGGGTAAGTCAAGTCTCACATACACTCTTGGTAAAAACAATTGCAACTTTCTACAAAAACAAACAAAAAAACCCATTTTTTTCTTTTTTAAAAGCTCCCAAGCATTTGGGAACAGATGAAAGAAATTCACATATTGAACAGGTCTGTGCTTTCTTCTTTTCGGTATTCAGATGGTCCCTCTCTGCTGCCACTTCTGCACAGATGAGACACTGATAATAGTCTGCAGCTGCACTAACAGTCCTATCTCCACGTTGCTCTGGTTTGACAACCTAGAACCATGGTATGATTTCCATTTAAATGCCCCAACAACAGCTGAAAAGATGTGAATTAAATTCTGCAAACCTTTATTGAGTGCCTACTATTTGCTGGGCACAGGCTAGGCACTGGGCAGTGATTCTGCTGGTTCTGAGAAACATAAATGGTACAGTAGAGAGGAGGCTCCTCCTAAGTGGCAGGAAGATGTTTGCTGGAAGTTAAGAGAATCAATTCCTCCTCTGCTTATACCACCTGGGGTAGGTGCGGAACTAAGGCCTTGGGAACAGTTGCTGTGCTCTCTTCTACAGGTGCTGCTGAGGAAGAACCGAGAGCAGTTGCTAAACAGCTGTGGAATTTGCTCCACAATCCACATAGTGATGTGTCTCCAAGGAGCTCTGGGTCATGTGGCCAATGTATGAAATCTTCACTGAAGTTCTAGGGAGAAAAAAAAAAGCAGAATTTATTCTGTTATTGAGGTGAAATAAGCAAGAAAAAATTGTCCGAATAATTTCTTCCAAGTTCAGGCAACAATACCCATGGGCCCCAGGAATATATCCTCATGATTATGTAATTAGGAGGTCAGAATATCTCTCCACATCCATAGAGATGCTGTGTTACGGAGTAGCCTTCTAAATAAGTGGTTCTCGCCCAGGGATGATTGTAACCCACCGACTTCTGGCAATATCTGAAGACATTTTGAGTTGTTACAACTGAGGGAGAGAAGAGGTGGTGAATATTACTGGCATCGAGTGGGTAAAGGCCAAGAATACTGTTAAACATCCTACAGCACACCGAATAGCCCCCTACAACAAAGAACTGTCTGGCCCAAAATGTTAATAGTGCCAAGGCTGAGAAATCCTGTTTTAACCCCTTATATTTCAAATGTTTGCAGCAGACCCCTGTCACCTACAAATTTAACAGTTGTTGTTACAGGAATAGCCCTAAAGGTCCATGACATGTGGTAATCTGTGAGGCTGGAGTGTAAGTCTGGTGAAATGCCCAATACCTACACCCTGAGAAAGCTTTTCTGTTCATTACTGCTCTCATTAGGATTCTAAAGGAGTGACAACATATTCAGTTGAACTGGATCCCATTTCATGGAGAAAATTACATGTTCGACTGTTCTCTGTGAATCTGGTGATTTGGGCGCTGCATCTAGAGAACTCCAAGGGTCTACCGTATCTGTGCCTGTGAGGCACCGGGCATCCCTTCTTTGGCTAGGTGCCTCTGCCTCGTGGGTCACACAGGCATCTCCTGAACAAAGGCACTAAGCTCACATGGCCTGATGGTCCAGGCTCAAACATAAGGGCCATCAGGGCAGGGAAAGGAGTGACATACCGCATGAAGATCACTATGTTGTGCACCAAGATATCCGGTAATGTGCAGAAGAAGCTATCAAACAGCAAATGCATAGTAAAAATGGTCAATTTGGTTAAAAAAAAAAAAAAAAAAGAACAGAAAGGAGCATCAGCACAAGAGTGCAGAGTTACACTGTCAAACGGAGAAGCAGTCGGCCTGTCTGGGGTGCCTCCCGTCCCTGACACCCACCCTTCCGACCTAAGAGCTGCTGAGGCTCACAGTCATTCTCATCCTCCCGTATTATAATACTTTCTTGTTTTTTCAAATCCATCATATAAATGCTGGAGCTTGATAATGTTCCTTGTGGCTTAATATTCTTTCAGAAATTTCAGCCCTTCAGTCACATATCAAATGACACATCTTCCAAATAAATCTCAAGATACTCCTGTGGCTGGGAACCTATAGGCCCAAGGCTGTGACTTAAGGCAGGGCCATGCCCCAATCAATTAAGTATGACTCTATCACCCAGTAGAGAGCACACACATAGAGAACATTGTCCTTACTACACGTAGGAAAATGGTCCTCCCATCTCAGCCTTCCCGGTAAAATTCACCTGAAAATAAGACACCAGAGTCAGTCTGTGGCCAAGGAGGCTTGACATAGAACAGTACTATTATTATCAATCCAAAGACCCTGGACAATTCTTCCATCACACACAAAATACTTCCCCGAGATTGTCCCTGATACAGTCTATGAGCCTCTAATCAATACTTCCAACCTCTTCCCTTTTGAGAGGCCAATGGACCTCAGACTACTCTCTCTTATGAATTCTTCTGTTCCTCAAATACTAAATGCTAGCTGAACTTTCTCCCATTATTTTTCATAATTACAGAGCCTGTCAATCTTCCTCATCAACCAGCTCCTACAAGTGGAAATGAGGAGACAAACAGGAAAGGAACGTGGCTAAGGCATTTCCACAACCCCTACTTTTCTCCTAGGCCTAGGGGCAAGGTTCCTACAAGAGCAGCATACCAGTTGCTCACTCCGAGGTGGAATGAGGGAGACATTAGTAGTCACATATGTGCCAACCACTGTGTTCATGTACTGAATCTGGCTGGACAGGCTGGTCACTGCCACGGGATAGAAGTTAGAGTTCTTAATTTTCAGGGTGGCCTGCGTCAAGGCAAGAGAGGAAACAAGTGTAAGTGTCCTGAGTCCAAGACTGGCAGGTGCACAACCCAGGAAATGAAGCCCTAAGTCTTACCGTGATGGCAAGGATTACCAGGGAGTCCTGTTTATTAAATGTGACTTTCACAACTTTGATGCCGTCATCATCCACAAGGACTGAGTGTGGAAATAGGAAGAAAACCACCAAACTGGATGCCAGGAGACAGAGCAGGATGGACAGGAGGACATACTGCTTACTGCAAATGACACAGCACATGACCGACCCGGGGAGTCAGATATCATGGTCCAGTCAGTCAAGATTAAATATGAAACCAGGAAGGAAGAGAGAGTGAAAGGCAAGTTCAAAGTGCCAGGAACCACAAACTAGCCAAGAATAAGTGGAGCAGCAGAAGCCTTTTTAAATGTTTAAACACTGTTTGCACTCTAGGAAGAAAAACTGAAAAGAGGAGCTGTGTGGACAGAGACCATTTCCGTACTTCCCAGAACACCCCATTTCTCCAATTCCTTCCAATCCTATTCCTTTACCTTGGCCCTCAGAACATTTCTAGCTTCAAGTTTATTTTCCCATATTGTAAGGGGGGCAGAAATATCTTGCTCAGGTAAATAATAATTTAAAAAATGGGAAATTTAGAAAGGGACCAGGGACAGAAGTAGGTATTAACAGGTGGAAGGCAGGTAACTCACGTTCTCTGAGGGCGCAATCTCTGATCACTGTGTGGGATCAATGCCACCAACTCATTTACTTGCTCTAGAAAAGAACCAATTATTTTGTAAATCCCATGTGTTGGCCGTACTTTCCTTCACATTTCACTTGAGCCTGCCACAACAAATATTCTTCTGGAATGAGACTTTTTAAAAAATGCTAGTGAAATTTGCATTTTGGGTCTAATGAACAAGAAACAAGTAAATTTTTAGGAAGTGCCACAAATTATAAAGCATCTATCATTGCTGCCAGGGCACTGACATGGAAGTTGAGAAATTTGGGATCTTGTTCTGGCTTTACTACAGGGCTTGGCAAAGTCACTGAACCTCTCAAGGCCACTGTTTTCTCACCTTTAATATTCAGTGTTGGAGTTAAGGGTTTCTAAGGTTCTTATCAGCTCTAAAATTCTGTGACCCTCCATCTAAACTGTTTAGACTTTCTGAAGGCCTACTTAGTAATAGATGATTCTATGCCTAATCCAGGATCCACCCCTGAACATGTCTCTCTCCCCACCTGATATATTTTTCAGACCTTAGGCTGTTAATGATTTGCTATCTGCTTCCTTGAAAAGAAGCTTCCAAGATGGTCCCCCCACAAAGCTGTGACAGTCTTTATGAGCAAAAGCAATAAAGAAATGTGCCTGTCAACAAATCGCACAGCACAGAGCAAACTGAATGTTCCAACCCTGGGGAGTGGGTGGGGAAGAACAGAGTGGAAGTGAAGAAAAGACAGGGTTTCAAATATAAGGAGATCAAGAGAAGTTGCAGAATCTGTCCAAGTTTATCAAGTCAGCTGAGCTGGCTGCTATTAGGGGCACTGTCTATGACTATAATGGTATTATGGACTAGAAGAAAAAGCTGTCTGGGCATACACAAGAACCCCTGAGAGTACCTTAGGATTCTTGTCAGGGAATCATCGCTCCCCTGATTACCCAAGAGTCTCACCTGTTGGAATGTAGCCTGTCCCTTGGCACGTGAGACAGGTGATGCTATCTCTCCCGGTGAACTCCACATATGGGAACTGAGCAATGGCTTCTTCCTGCTCTCGTTCAGCCAGCAAATCCTCCCTGTCATCTTCTTTCTTTTGCCTGCAGGAGGAGGGGTGACCACAGGTGGAATGCTGAGATCCCATGGCCGTGATGTGCCACTTGTGTCATGTCCTAAGATGAAAAGAGGCAAGGGAATGCATGTTACTGTCCACACTGGGCCGTAAGAGAAGAAATCGATTCTATGAGAAAAGTGAAAACACAAAAACGGCAAGTTGCCGCCCTGAGTATGATCCCAACACCCGCACAATTTCTATCAGGACTCTCATTTTGTAGCAGTGCTTCCCACCCCGCTCTTACCCCCTACCCACAGCCGGGGAAATGGGGCCTGCCTTCCGCCAACCTGCCCAGGTCCTCACTGCCTCGGGACTCGGGGCACCTCCCACATGGCCCAGCCTCGCCCCTCCCTCTTCGTTATTTGCAGTCTGTGCCCTCCTCAAGCAAACCTTCTCGGACAAACAGGCACTAAACTAATAACGGGCATTAACAAGCCACATCCCCCTCCACTACCAGCGCCGGGAGGCGGGCTTAGGTCACGCCCCCTGGAAAAAGCAACGCTGTGAGCCCACCAAAGTCGCCCAGGCAGGAGCGAACGCCAGAGTCCCGGATCTGCAGGGCGACAACTCCCGGCAGCACCCCTCCGGTCCACTCCCCCCGCCTCCTGCCCTCTCCAGCCGGATTACCTGCCTTTTCGGTCCTCGGAGCCGCACGCTCTCTGTACGCAGGCGCCGAACGAAGAGGCTCGGGGGACGCCGGCGTGCGCTCGCGCGTGCGCTCTGTGCAGCTCCGGGGCTCTCCCGTCCGCAGCGCAGCTGTGGCGCTCCTTCGGCGCCGGTAGAGGGCGGCGGAGAGCGGGCCAGACCTGCGACCCGCTCGGCTTCGCCTAGGCTGGTCCGCAGATCCAGGGCGATACTCTGCTGTTCCCCAGAGACTCTGGGAAAAGCTCGAGTCAGGGGCAGAACATCTCTCTGCTGCGGGAGGAGGGCGCTGCCGGCCACCAAAGCCATTCTCAACTATTCTTAGAGCATTCTGAAGGTGCAAAGATGCCAAACCCTGCTACCTGTCCTCAAGCCGGGAGGTGAACCAGACGCTTCAACAGACCACTCCAACGCTGTGGATAAAAGCTCTTAAAAGCGCTGCAGGAGGGCTCACAAGTGGAAAGGCCCCCAGCCCAGCCTAGGGGAAAGCTTGGCGGGGGGGAGTTCTGCGGCTTCTTCGCGTCTTGCAGGAACGGACCAGAGCTGAGCTTTGCAAGCCAGGTAAGCGCCAGGAGGCACCAGGGAGTAGGCCAGGGCCTCCCCTTCCCGGCCCTCTGCAAAAAGGACACGCACGCACATAAGAGGTTAGATAACACTTAACTGTTGGGTTTCTTTGTCGGTACTACGAGGTTGAGCTTAGTCCAGAGCAGAGGAAGTGAGGGCAGACATTAAGCAGGTGAAGTTACTGAAGAGGATGCTTTAGGAGGGAGGAGATATTCTGAAACTGGATGATGAGGGACCTCTTGGCAATGGAGAGTGAGGCTGGCGACGCTTGAGGTTTCTGCCACCTCCATATCCTCCTCGTTCTCCTGTGGGGAAGGCGGATGCACCTGCTGCCGTCTAGCCAGCTGCCCAACCGCTGGCCACAGCGCCCACTGAGCCTTGAGTAAGAAGCCACAAAGAACCATCGCTTCCCCTCTCCCACCTCGGGCCCACTTCTTCTCCTTCCTGAAATCTGTTTTTCATCTGTTGGGGTGTAGAAAACAATTCCCCAAAATATGGTGCTTGGGCTTGCTGAGTGCTTTTGAAAATTAAAAGGCCTCAGAAATAAGCCTCAGAATCAAGGTCCTTCTAACCTTGTCTCCCTCCGCCACCCCCCCACACCCCACAAGTGTAGAGAGGGACACTCTTTGGAACCACATCTGGATGGGCTTTTTCACAAGTTAAGGCCTGCCTTTCGGCGCATTCAAATTCCAAAGAGAATCATTTACAAGTTAATTTCTGTCTCGATGGTCCATTCACTCTCCCCAACAGTTATTTACCACCCACCACTCAAAAGAATTGTCTAAATTCCCCGTCTCCTCCCTGCCCTGTGAAAAAGGTACATAAGTATAAGCTTCTGTACCCCAGTGGAGGGTTGGGATAATCACTCTGTAACCGCCCCTCCCACATGCATGTTGATAAGATTTGTATGCCTGTTCTTCTATTAATCTGCCTTTTGTCAGTTGGTTTTCCCCAAACCTTCGAAGGACAAAGAGAAAACTGCCCCTACGGTTTTGGCACTGTGACCAGGATACCGAAGCGGCTCTGCTCTTCTGGAAGCTGCAGCCAAGGGAACCCAGAACCTGGCAAGCTGGCAGAAGGGTAAGCAATTCCTCTCAGCCAGGCTCACAGTCTTGCTGTCTGTGGAATCCAGTCGAGGGGATGGTAAAAATCACTTTTTCCTCTCCAAAATCTTGATTAATAGGAGAAAAGCATTTGAGTGTCTAGTCTTGGGTGTGGTGACTCTGGTGGACTTTTGGAATGAATATTCATATTGTATGATTCTTTTTCCTCCCGGAAATACTCTTTGTCCTCCTGGGTTGTTATGTCATAAAGTGGGGATACCCTAGAGTAGAACATGGGCCTAAAACCTCTATAAGCCTGTTGTTCAAGCCAGCCCTGCAGACTGGCTAGTTTTGTGGTTCTGACCAGACTAGTGTCTTTTTAGACAAACTTTGCTGTGGGTCTCCTAAATAAAAACCAAATGAAGTTCTCCTTTCATCTTGTTTTATGTCCTCGAGAGCTTGACTTGTAAGTGGGAACACCATCAAGGGGCAAAGGGGAAGTTTTCCCTTCACCCCTATACGACTCTCTCCTTGCAAGTTCTATACCAGTTTATATTCCTTTTTAAAATAAATCTGGTGTTGTTCGTGGCAGCAAATACTCAACTAAAAATACACTTCTCAGCTTCTCTTGCAAAAAGAGGTAGCCATGTGATACAGTTATGGCCAATGAGATATAAGTTGTATGAAACTTCCAGGAAAGCTCCTTAAGAAGGATGAAAGGCTGGGCCCAGTGGCTTATGTCTGTCATCCCACAATTTGGCAGGCTGCGATGGGAGGATCACTTGAGCCCAGGAGTTTGAGACCAGCCTGGGCAACATAGTAAGACCCTAGCTCTACAAAAAAATTAGCCAGGCATGGTGGCATGCACCTATAGTCCCAGCCACTTGGGAGGAAGATTGAGGCTGGTGGGTTGCTTGATCCGAGGAGTTTGAGGTTGCAGCGAGCTATGATGATGCCACTACATGCTAGCCTGGGCAACAGAGTAAGACCCTGTCTCAAAAAAAAAAAAAAAAGAAAAGCAGAGTACGGACTCATCTTTCTCTCTGCTTGATGTTGGGGTTGGGGCAGTCATCTTGTGATGATGAGTCAAGAAGTGCATGCTGAAGAAGGCTGGGTAGAAAGGTAAAGTGCCTGGGTCCCTGATGGCATATGGAGCCATGATCAGGCCCTGGACTACCTGTCCTCTGAGTTCTCATTACTTGAGAAAATAACCCCTTACAACTGTGTAAGCCTGTTTTTGGGGTGTCTCTTTCTCACAGTGGTATGCAGTCCTAACAAATATAGGCACAGAATAAGTAAAAATGAAAGACTGGATCTTATCACAAGCAGACTGACTGCTTTGGAAGCATACCATGTAGGCACACTTTGTTTCTATCCTTCCAACTTCAGCCCTCAGGGTGCATGCCCTTTGAGAGAGGGAGGCCCCTTGCCTATCTGAGGCCTGTCTTCCAAGTTAGGCTTTCCTGCCTGACGACTTGCTTCTGATAGGTAACTCACCTGGAGAGTGACCTCTACTGAGAGCCCATCCTCTAGTCACGTGGGTGTTGCCCCACTTTGTGGCCTCTACTGGACACCCAGCCAAGGACAGGATGCAATAAGCCTAATAATGTCTGCACTGCAGGACATTTCAGTGAGTTGTCCAGATTGTGACATTACGGTGAGTTGTCCAGAGGCGGTAACCTGACCCATCCCAGTGTAAGAGGAAGACAAGCCCAGAAGGAGATTGAGAACTGTGGATGTTTTGAAAAGGGAGAGAAAGAGGTTAAGAGCTTGAGCAGGGCTTGAAATGGATGGGGGACCAGGAAGGGTCTGGGGGCTTCACCAGCAAAACCCTTCAGCCTGTTTGACGATCTGCTTCTGAAGGTGTGTCTGGGACAGACTGTACTCTGCAGGGTGGGTTTTATTCTTCCTTGTCTCCCCAACACCCAAGTCAATGCCTGGTGCATAGTAGGCTGTCAGTAAATGCTTGCAGAATGACTCAGCTGGAGGCTGGCCCACACCACCTGGGGGAGCAGTCCCAGCATCCGCAGGGGCCATCTGGGAGGCAGTTTTAATTGGGCAGCACGTTCCTGAGGAGACAGCCATCACCTCTCACCTGGGCCTGGCTTCCAGGTTTGTCTCACCATCCCAGTTATGAGCAGTGAGGTTGCTGCAGACATGAGCTCACTGAGGCTCTCAGGGTGGGCTGGGGCAGAGCGGGGCCAGCTGGGCATCCCTGTACTCCCAGTCTCCTGTTTCTCCACATCCGTGTATACCCTTGGCCCCCCCAGGCAGAGGGGAGGGGAGGAGAGGCCAGAAAGGGCTGCAGGGACAGGGAGGTCAGGGACTAGCCCTGCTCAGCTCTGCGTCCCTCCCCGCACTCATACGTGGGGACAGGACAATGCAGGGGGCATTTAGGACAGTGTTAGCGTCCCTTTTGCACCGACAGGGAAATTGAGGATTGGGGATTGGACATGCCCTTCACGGTCTTCCTTCTGCCCCTTTATTTATTCCGCAGTTGAGAAAGCTTGCTCAAGGTTAAGTGCGAGGGTCCCTTGCATTTAAGAACTGCTTCCAACCGTAGAGCGTTTTACCACTTACATGGCATTTGCTTCGTTTGATGTGAGGCAGCTCTAATTCCCATTTTACTGGTGGAGAAACTGAGGCACAGGGAGGCTGATTTGCCCCAGCTATGGTGGTAGGGTCCAACCTGAATCACTGGGTTTTCTGCCCCCACGTCCTGTCTCTTTTCATTTTACTATGCTATTTCCTACAAAGAATGGTCTCAGGAAGAGGAGTGTCGCAGAGGGTGCTGACATACAAAAGGGTTCCAGGCAGGGGGCTGCACAGGGAGCTGCACACGGAGTTTGCAGGTAGGGAGCTCTGCTCAGAGAGGTTGAACACGGTGGGTGTGCTGGGATCTCACCGTGTTCACTCGTGTGTGAGGAACTGATGACCCACCACAGCCTTGTGAAGGGGACCTTGAAGCCATAGTCAACCGAAGTGGTCCGAAAAGTGAGACTCTCCTCAGCTCCTTCCTGGAGGGTCATTGGCAAGGGTGACGGTGGGACTAGGAAGGAGAGTCTCACCTGCATCGTGCTCACGTTCACCTGGCTCAGGGATGCACCTGGAACAGCCAGTAAGGGGCCTGGGTTGCGGTAGGAGGGATGACTCCTCCACAAACCCAGGTGGGCAAAAGAGGTCCCATTTTAAAAAATTTTTAAACCAACCTAAATCCAACTCAGAGCCCCACGCTGACTGGCTGGCAGGGAGGTTAATCTCCTCAGTTACTGAGGCTGTCTTCCTCTCCCCCAGGGCACTCAGGAGTTCTGGAGACTTGCTTCTTAGAGCCCCAGGCTCAGGGTAACGAAGGGCCTCTCATGTTTAGCCCACTACGTCACCTGATTTCCTTGTCCAGTGCCTCACAGGCCCCTTCCCCACAGTGGTGC